CGTTACATGCTTGTCTGCTAAGTGAAAGATCAGAGGTTCTAACCCACCAGCCACTTTGTGGGAGAAAGATGTGACAGTCTGCTCCCGTAAAGATTACAGCCTTGGAAACCCTATGGGGCAGTTTTATTCTGCATCGCTTTGAGTCAGAATTGACTTGATGGCAACAAGTTTTTTTTTAAAGGCTTTTCATGAGCAGTCGAAGATCTAGAAACCAGATGAGCTAGTAAAGGAGGTTCTCTTTCTTGCTAATGAGGGAGTAGCTTCCTGCACAACAGCTTCTCCTAGTGAGTAAAGGCTGACAGTGCATTAGTCAGCAGGTCTGTTGTCCTTATCTATGCAAATTTCCCATCATTGCGAAGCTTCAAATCAGCGTTTAGGAGCTAGCTTATTTCCTAACTATTGTACTGTAACATTATTTCCTCTTCTATTTCAATTGAGTGTTGCGGTGCAGTGAATTACTTCATATGGCCCTTCTAGCCATAATCTTTGTGACTCACACACAATGATTGAGTGGGACTATGCAAATAAGGTGTATGGAACCTGTGATGGTTGAGGTTATGTATTGACTTGGCTAGGCCATGATTCCTAGTATTGCATGGTTGTCCTGTGTCTTAGGCTGGGTTTTCTAGAGAAGCAAAACCAGTAAAGTGTATAAATATATATGGAGAGAGTTTTGTATCAAGGAAATGGCTCATGAGATAGTAGAGGCTGGAATGTCCCAAGTCCGTGAGTCAGGATAGAGGCTTCCCCTGATTCATGTAGCCACGGGGGCTGGCGAACCCAAGAATAGCAGGTCAGACAGCAGGGCTCTTGCTCACAGGCTGCAAAGAGTGATGAATCCCAAGATTGGCAGGCTAGATGACAGGTAAGCTGCTAGCTCAAGTCCCAAGAACTGGAGGTCAGATGAACAGGAGCCAGCTGCAAGAATCAGAGTGAGCAAAAGCCTGAGAGCCTTGCCAAAGAGTCCACTTATATTTGATGCAGGCCATACCCCCAAGGAAACTCCTTTTCAACTGATTGGCTCCTCACAGCAGATCCCATCATGGAGGTGATCACATTATATCAAATCTCATCATGGAAGTGATCACATTATCATACGACTGCCAAACTACATTGTAATTACCAAACCACTGAGAATCATGGCCCAGCCAAGTTGACACACAACCTTAATGATCACATCCTCCATTTTGTGATCTGATTTAATTATCCTCCATTTTTTGTGATGTGTTACGAATCTTACCCTCTATGATTGTGGTTGTGTTAATAAGGCAGGATTAAGAATATACCTTGAGTTACCACCTTACTAGAGGGTGTGACTCAAGTCCCACCCTTACTCAAGTCACGCCCTTCCTTGGGGAGTGTCCTACATCCAATGCATATATGTGGTTGCTCTGGTAGGGCTCACTGCCTCTCTCTCACTTTGGATCCTGCATCTGGTTCGTGATTATCTGACCTCTGGTTCTTGGGACTTGAGCCAGCAGCCTGCCATCTGACCTGCCAATTCTGTGATTCACCAGCTTTCACAGCCCCGTGGGCTTGTGGCCTATTGTCTGACCTGATTCTCCAGCTTCTGCAGCCTTGTGAGCCAGCAGCCTGTCGTCTGACCTGCAGGTTTGTGTTCCTCAGCCCCTGCAGCCATAGTGTTTTGGGAGAATCTACACCTGACCCACAGATTTGGGACTTGACAACCTCCACAACTGTGTGAGCCATTTCCTTAATATGGTTTGTGAGTTCTGTGAGATGCTGCAGTGAATTATGGAACCCAAAGATGGGAAAGAGAGTACTGAGGGGAGGAGTAGTAGTTGATGTTAGAGATGATGGAGTGGTACAGCAATTTGGAAAAGCTGGTCATTTGGGACATCTTGAACCTCTACCTCATAGGAACCAGCTTCGTGCTCATCCTTATAAAAGAAATTATTCATTTAAGTGTCTTCAATTAAGGAATTAAGAGGAGAAGAGAGTAAAAAACATGGGGTCGTTTCACTGTCTTCCCAGAACCCCTCTGGGCCACTGCTTGTTAACTTTCTACAAAATTACTGCTACCCCTCATGTTTAACGGAAACTCTTCTCTTCATGATGACCCATGACTCTATGACATTGTTGATTCTTCCTACTAAGAATTACGTATCTTCCCTCTTCTATGATATTGTCACATCTTAGTGTGACTCATTTATTGGACTTTGTAGAGTAAAAATAGAAGGAAAAAAAGCCTATTCTTTCTCATCCCTATCCCTTTAAACAAATTATCTGTGGAATTATTCTTTCCTGCCCCTGGATGAAATGGTGAACAAATTTCAGATTTCAGATACTGATGATTGTTATAAATTTCCAGGTAATAAAAAGCCTAGTCCAGTACACTTAAAAAGCTTTATTCTCCCAAACATTGAAAAACTTCTTCCTTCCTCAAGCTTGGGCCTGAATCATGCTCAAGAGGTAGCATTGAAGAAGGGGTGTGGTCATTCATTTTCTTTTGATCACTAAACTTCCTCTCCCACTTGCTAGTTGCTTTTTCCAGATTTTCCAGGGTTTGGCACATGTAGAAAGAGGGGATCAAAATCCTACGTGGCTATTTTCTTAGTTGAGAGCCTCTGTGAATTAGACGCTCAAATATTAGCTTTTTCTCTCAAGCGGAAAGAGCTAACATTCCAACACACAAAACACAGAATGGTTCTTCATACATTCCCATCTTGTAACCCGGAGATTTGTCACCTGACATTCCAGGATTCAGGTAATGTTTACTGTGTCTGACCATTTACCAATAACTCCTCAGCCCCTGGCTTCCTATGGTTTTTCCCACATTCTCTCTCTTTTGAGGTCATCTTACCCTTGAGATGGGCAGGGAGTGGTCCCCTTTCAAGATGACCCAAGTTCAGTTCCCTTTTATAGGTTCCACTTATGAACCTATCTGAAAAGGTGGGAGCCCTATTTTCTCCCACCATATCAATCTTTAGCCTTTGTATTAGAGATGTACATGTAGGCAACCTCTTATCTTCAAACTTTCTAGGTGAGAGTTAGGAATAGTCTTTGTACTCCCATCTCAAAATCAGAAGACCCATGTTAGGTTCCCTGAGTGGCTCTCTGAATTCTCCCTTACTTGGGGAAGCACTCTAATCCCCATGGGTTAAGGGAGGTAGAATGTACAGCATTTGGAAACTCTCTTTGAAGAAATCCTGGCTTTTAGACTTTCTTATGAACTCTCAGCCTTCTTTGAAATAGCTTGGAGGCTAATGGTGGAAGGAACCAATTTTGTGATACCCTTATACCAAGTCCAACATTAATGATCAGCTTTAGAACATGGGAGAGATTGGCTTTGAGGCTTCTGCTCAAACTACAAGACAGAGAGAATTGCATTTAAATAACCATTTTACTGTGCTTTCTTGTTAACTTTTTATTTTTATCTCCACGTTTTCTTTTACTTGAAGAACATTCTGTCCTGGCCCTCTGCCCATCATTCTCAATTCCCTAACTATGGGCATCTCCAAAGGCTGTTCTATTCTCTCTGTATGGAACATACCCATATTCATATTTTCAAGACTTTGTCTTCAGTTCTTCCTTCCAACTCAAGGCTCAAATTAGAATGTTTAATTGTTTATAAGACATCTTCACTCAGATATCTCATTGTGCCCTCAAATACGAAGTCTACATCTCTCTTATCAGCATCTCCTCCCCCAAAAAACTACCCTATTATCTATTTTGGTTAAAGAAATGCCATTATTTTAATCACCTAGTCTAGAAAACTTGAAACTATATTGATTCTTTCCTTTCCTTCATTTGCTCCATTACATCAATATATTCTTTTCTTCCTTGCTATATATTATTAGACTTTTTACTTTCTTTCCATTCTCTGATTTTTCCTCAAATAAGTTGGTGTCAAGTGTTTTATCTTCAGTCTCACTAATTCTGACTTCTATTGCCTCAGTTCTGCTCTGGACTTTCTACTCAGTTGTTTAATTCTGCAATTTTATTGTTAATCTTCTGGATTTCTGTTTGCTGTCTCTCTATGGATTCTCGCGGCCTGTTAAATTTGTCATTATGCTCTTCTCTAATCTTCTTAAGCTCCTCTATTGCTTTGTCTGTGTGTTCCTTGGCTTGTTCTGCATTTTGTCTGTTCTCCTTCCTGATCTCTTGAAGAGTTCTGTATATTAATCTTTTGTATTCTGCTTCTGGTAATTCCAAGAAGTTCTCTTTCTCCAGAAGATTTCTTGATTCTTAGTTTTGGGAACTTGCTGAAGCCATCGTGGTCTGCCTCTTTGTGTGATTTAATATTGACTGTTGTCTCCAAGCCATCAATAAGTTATTATATTTATTTATTTTATGTTTGCTTACTGTGTCCTAGTTTCTTGTTTTGTTTTGATATGCCCAAATAGGCTGCACGTGTGAGCTAGTTTGATTACTGGTGCCTTTGAAGCTCTAACGTCCTTTCACCAGGTGCTTAGATCTGTTACTAGGTATGTGAGCCCAGGAGTCCGTTTACTTTTCTTGTATGGATTCAGCTCATGTGTCCAGGTAGTTGGTCAGCAAGTGCGTGGTGCAGGTTCTCACCTACAGTCCTAGATGGGGAGGGGTAATTGGTGTAGGCACAGATATCTGGCTGCATTAGGTGGTCATGTGCTGAGCAAGGTAGAGGGCTGACAGTTGCCCCTGAGTGTCTAGGAGGAAAGCATGTCCCTGTTCCCTAGAATGCTTAGGTGGGTGTGTTTTGCAGCCAGACTATGGGCACCCAATGCTGTTGACTGAAAGGACTGGGAAGTACCACTTATTCTTGGACCCCTTTTGCAGGTGGCTAGGTGGCGTTGGTGGAGCCACCAGTCCTCAGGCTCCTAAGGTGGATAGGTGAGGAAGCTGCTTAATGAAAAAGGAAATGTGTAAGTAATAGAAATAACAACAATTGGCTATCTGGGTGGCATCAAATTAAATCGAGAAAACAAAAATTTAATTTTGAGGAACTAATGTTAAAAGTAATAAAGTGGGTATTATTAAAATAAAACATTTATATTCACCTGTAGTTTGGATCCAGGATCTTCACACTAAATACATACATTCCAGAATGGTCCAGGGGCCAAATTATATGGTTATAATTAGACTTGTTGATAATCTCATATGGTTGATTCAAGTCTCCTGGTTTTCCAATAGCATAAGAAAAACAGTGCTTATAGTTCTGAACAGGAAACAAACAAAAAGACCAAAGATCATTTTCTGACTTTAATAAACAAAATTACACTCTCTTATATTTTTCTTGGCAAATTATTTACAGAGGTAATGGCTATTCGCTTCTAGTCTACCATTTCAGTGCTCTATAGTAATTTTAGTAAAATTTAGGAAAATTTGATGAGAACTGAAGCTTAGTGCAAGCAAATGCTGTATTTACTTTGTATCTGCAAACAATAATAAATTAGGACATTGAGAGTGTGTAAGGGTATAGTTTTCCTAAACCAACAAAGCACAAAGTCCTCCAAGGATGCTTAATTTGGGAACAAACTATTTTGATCACGATCTATGGCTACAATAGTCGAGGTGGTATACCCTTGAGATTTCGTCCTCCTCTAGGGCTTTTATTTATTCCTATTTCCACTACTGTGCCTCTCTGTGGGGTTCAAGAAACAAACTAGGAAAAATATTTATCTATGCCACCCTCCCCATTTTTTCAAAAGGACAGATGAAATGAGCTTATATTTTTAAAAGCCACTTTTTTAAAACAAGAAAATGAAGTAAAGATCGTTAAGATAAACTTTGCAGATTTTGGAGCCTACGCTAATACAAGGCATTGCTCCCAGGTCCTTGTGGGTCCTGTTCATTTCCACACCCTATCTAGAGGGCTCCTCCACCACTCCTGCTGTCTGAGACTGTTCGTTTTAACGAAACAAGAAGTCTTGTGGGGTGATTACTTTGGATATGCCTGAATTTTTAGCTATCAACATACTTCATGGTATTTTTCCTTTTTTCTACCTATCTTGAGGTATTTCTCTTTCATTAGTAACTTCCTAGTCAATAGGAAGGAGCCCTGGTGGCACAGTGGTTTAGTGCTCGGCTGCTAACCGAAAGGTCACCAGTTCAAACTCACTAGCTCCTCCATGGGAGAAAGATGTGGCAGTCTGCTTCCATAAAGACTTACAGCCTTGGAAACCCTATACGGTCTCTGTGAGTCAGAATCGACTCAGTGGCAATGGGTTTGGTTTGAGTCAATAGGATCAGTTCTCATACAGTCCCAAAGAGACTTCCGCATGGGAACTCCCACGGACAAAATGTTATCATGATTAGATGGTGATAATGATAAACTCTAGGAGGGCGCTTGCTGCTTTCAGCAGTATCCCCAGCCAGGCACATAGCAGAGTGTTGTGTTGTTAGGTGCCATTGAGTCGGTTCTGACTCATAGTGACCCTATGTACAACAGAACGAAACACTGCCCAGTCCTGTGCCACCCTCACAATCGTTATGCTGGAGCCCATTGTGGCAGCCGCTGTGTCAATCCATCTCATTTCTTCCTCTTTTTTGCTGACCCTCTACTTTACCAAACATGATGTCCTTCTCCAGAGGCTGGTCCCTCCTGATAACATGTCCAAAGTATGTGATGAGACAGGTCTCGCCATCCTTGCTTCTGAGGAGCATTCTGGCTGTACTTCTTCCAAGACAGATTTATTCGTTCTTTTAGTAGTTCATGATATATTCAATATTCATCAGTAACACCATAATTCAAAGGGTCAATTCTTCTTTGGTCTTCCTTATTCATTGCCCAGCTTTCACATGCATCTGAGGGGATTGAAAACACCATGCTTGAGTCAGGGGCACCTTAGTCCTTAAAGTGACATCTTTGCCTTTTAACACTTGAAAGAGGTCTTTTGCAGCAGATTGGCCCAATGCAATGTGTCTTTTGATTTCTTGACTACTGCTTCCATGGGCGTTGATTGTGGACCCAAGTAAAATGAAATCCTTGACAATGTCAATCTTTTCTCCATTTATCATGATGTTTATTGGTCCAGTTGTGAAGTTTTTTTTTAATAACAAATTTATTATTCCATTCACATTAAAAGTCACAATTGAATATTTTTTTATTTTATATACAAAGAGCTAGAGCATTGTTTCTTTTGTTGTGTAGATGTCTTGGATACCCCATTCAAGGAAGATCTCTTAGTCCAACTTAATGAAGCCTATATCCTTCACATACTGACGGAAACACTGGCTGCACATATTGAGGTCGTACTTGCGGATCAGACCGGGCCGGTTTGAGCACACACGGCAAGAGCGGGAACCCTGGCCGAATCATTGCGGGGGCTCCAGTAGAGCTGCTGGTGACTCGTCTTGCTTTGAGGGACGCACCAAAGCAAAAGGCGATTTTCGTTTTCTTTATGTTGAGGTGTAATCCACACTGAAGGCTGTAGTCTTTGATCTTCCTCAGTAAGTGCTTCAAGTCCTCCTCATTTTCAGCAAGCAAGGTTGTATCATCTGCATATTACAGGTTGTTGATGAGTCTTCCTCCAATCCTGATGCCCCATTCTTCTTCGTATAGTCCAGTTTCTTTGATTATATGCTCAGCATACAGATGGAATAAGTATGGTGAAAGGATACAACCCTGACACACACCTTTCCTGATTTTAAACCAGGCAGTATCCCCTTGTTCTGTTTGAACGACAGCCTCTTGGTCTATGTACAGGTTCCTCATGAGCACAATTAAGTGTTCTGGAATTCCCATTCTTTGCAATGTTATCCATAACTTGTTATAATCCACACAGTCGAATATGCCTTTGTATAGTCAATAAAACTCAAATAAACATCTTGTCTGGTATTCTCTGCTTTCAGCCAAGATCCATCTGACATCAGCAATGATATCCCTCTTTTCATGTCCTTTTTTGAGTCCATCTTGAATTTCTGGCAGTTCCCTGTTGAAGTATTGCTGCAGCCACTTTTGAATGATCTTCAGCAAAATTTTACCTGGGTGTGATATTAATGATATTGTTCAATAATTTATGCATTCTGTTGGATCACCTTTCTTTGCAATGGGTACAAATATGGATCTCTTCTAGTCGGTTGGCCAGGTAGCTGTCTTCCAAATTTCTTGGCATAGACAAGTGAGTGCTTCCAAGGCTGAATCCATTTGTTGAAACATCTCAGTTGGTATTCTGTCAGTTCCTGGAGCCTTGTTTTTCACCGTTCCCTTCAGTGCAGCTTGGACTTCTTCCTTCAGTACCATTGGTTCTTGATCATACGCTACCTCCTGAAATGGTTGTACATTGATCAATTAATTCTTTTTGGTACAGTGACTCTATGTATTCCTTCCATCTTCTTTTGATGCTTTCTACGTCGTTTAATGTTTTCCCTGTAGAATCCTTCATTATTGCAACTCTAGCTTTGAATTTTCTCTTCAGTTCTTTTAGCTTGAGAAATGCCAAGTGTGTTCTTCCCTTTTGGTTTTCTATCTCCAGGTCTTTGCACATGTCATTATATTTTACTTTCTCTTCTCGAGTCACTCTTTGAAATCTTCAGTTCTTTTACTTCATCATTTCTTCCATTCTCTTTATCTACTCGACATTCAATAGCAAGTTTCAAAGTCTCTTCTGACATCCATTTTGGTCTTTTCTGTCTTTTTAATGACCTTTTGCTTTCTTCATGTATGACGTCCTTGATGTCATTCCACAGCTCATCTGGTCTTCATTCATTAGTTCTCAATACGTCAAATCTATTCTTGAAATGGTCTCTAAATTCATGTAGGATACAGTCAAGCTCATACTTTGGCTCTTGTGGACTTGTTCTAAATTTCTTTAGCTTCAACTTGACATATGATCAAGTCTGTTCTGCAGTAGGCCCCTGGCCTTGTTCTGACGGATGATATTGAGCTTTTCTATTGTCTCTTTCCACAGATGTAGTCAGTTTGATTCCTATGTATTCCAGTTGGTGAGGTACATGTGTGTAGTCGCTGTTTATGTTGGTGAAAAAAGATATTTGCAATGAAGAAGTCTTTGGTCTTGCAAAATTCTGTCATGTGAGCTCCAGTGTTGTTTCTTTCACCAAGGCCATATTTTCCAACTACCAATCCTTCTTTGTTTCCAACTTTCAGATTCCAATCACCAGTAATTATCAATGCATCTTGATTGCATGTTTGATAAATTTCAGACTGAGAAGTTGGTAAAAATCTTCAATTTCTTCATCTTTGGCCTTAGTGGTTGGTGTGTAAATTTGAATAATAGTCGTATTAACTAGTCATTCTTGTAGGCGATGGATATTATCTTATTATAGACAGCATTGTACTTCAGGATAGGTCGCAAAATGTTCTTTTTGATGATGAATGCAACACCATTCCTCTTCAATTTGTCATTCCAGGCATAGTATATCACATGATTGTCTGATTCAAAATGGCCAATACCAGTCCATTTCAGCTCAGTAGTGCCTAGGATATCAATGTTTATGTGTTTCATTTCATTTTTGATGATTTCCAATTTTCCTAGATTCATACTTTGTACATTCCACGTTCCTATTATTAATGGATGTTTGCAACTGTTTCTTCTCATTTTGAGTCGTGCCACATCAGCAGATGAAGGTCCTAAAAACTTGACTCCATCCATGTTGTTAAGGTCAACTCTACTTTAAGAAGGCAGCTCTTCCCTAGTTTTGAGTGCCTTCCAACCTGAGGGGCTCATTTCTGGCAGTATATCAGACAATGCTCCACTGCTGTTCATAATAATTTTTTTCATAAGTAAACCACCAGGTCCTTCTTCCTAGTCTGTCTTAGTTTGGAAGCTCAGCTGAAACCTGTCCACCATGGGTGACCCTGCTGGTATTTGAATACAGGTGGCATAGCTTTCAGCATCACGGCAACATGCAAGCCACCACAGTACAAACTGACAAACATGTCGGGACACAGTAGGTAGTAGGTAGTAAAGTTACTGGAAGCGCTATTTGTGATCCACTTCACAGGAAACAAATGTCTGACATATACTTGTTGAATAAACTTTGAACCTTGATTTCAACCTTTGATAAAGTTAATATTTGAGATCTAGCTGCACTCTGTACCTGCAACCTCTTTCTGCCAACCAAAATTGAATAACCTCTGCTATACGTGTGTCTTGGGTTAGGTTGAGCCATGGTGGTGCAGTGGTTAAGTGCTTGATTGCTAACCAAAAGGTGGACATTTGAACACACCAGCCACTCTGTGAGAGAAAGATATGG